CTCTGTATGTGACCTGCTTGTAAATCAGCAGAGAAATCTCTATAGCCCTAAAGTACTTTTTCATACTATTATTTTTGCATTTCTTTTCTCCTTTTGAAAGTTATTATGGTATGGAATTACTTTTATCAATGAATATATATACAGTATATTCAAGAAACGACTAAAAACACATCTGTTCCACCTTTATTTGACCCTCTTACTCTAGCACTTTCTATTCTATTTTAATTCTACTTTATCTATTTATCTTCTTTTTTTATTTAAAAAAACAAAAAAACACTAGCTTTCTATTTTTTCTATTCTATCTACTTTTTTATTTGTGTGTGTGTGTGTGTGTGTGTGTGTGTATATGTGTGTATAATATAAAATACCTTTGCGTTAGGCTAACTGAGACTTGTCATTTGCACTTATATATTGTTGCTCTTTTGTTACTTTTGACTGCTTCTGTTGTCCTCATTTGTAAGTCGCTTTGGATAAAAGCGTCTGCTAAATGACTAAATGTAAATGTATTAAATATATATTAAATTAATACTTAAATACTTAATTATTTGAATACTTAATTCATTAAATACTTAACACACACTCAAGTGCACACAAATGTACTTGTGTGTGTACTCTTCCACTAAGGTGTTCTTACCACTGTCATACAATGTGACACTGTATGTGTGTATTTTTGGGGTGCCACCCTCAGAGGGGTGTGAAGACGGTGCGTTGGAAGGCGAGGGGGTTGCAGTTGGGTTCCTGGGCTCTATTTGCAATTGAAAGCAGGGGGCTGTGGCATAATGAAAATGTAAAGCAGTGGTTTCATTTTATTCACTGTGGCAGATCCAGATTCCCAGAGAAACCTCACTCTAGCAATCAGTCTATTAATAATTGAAACTGGTTCAGGAAGTGAGTGAGGCGAGCCGGTGCCACGACGCTATGCCTCACCAGCTGCTGACCCTCATAGACGCCAGCCAATTACACAATGCTGGTTAATTGTCGGGTGATATGATTGCACCGCTGTGGGGGAGGATGTGATGTCACTTGGGGTGGCGGGGGGTTTGAAGACCCTAGGGTGGCAGAAAGGGAGGGTAGAAATGAGGGAGGAATGACAGAGAGTATAAATTGTGCTTGCTAAGGATTTGTTCAAACCCCTAACACTATGTATTAAGTTGTGAGTTGTAAGTATTAATGTATTAAGTTGTGCCATGTAACTTGTCCTATACAGACATGTGCTACAGACATGAATGATATCTCAAATTGTGCAGCTTTTTGAAGAGAGGTGTGTTATTACTTTACCAGGTAATTAAGATGATATTCATCTAGTGGCCAATAAAATAGCCAAATAAAAAAAGAAATCCATAGACATTGAAAGAGGGACCCAAATCACATCTAGAAACTAGAATATTGCAGACTTGGATATGAGCTCTTTTGACTTGGGCCACTAAGTAACCACCTAGCAACCGCATAATAACTGTAAAACAACTCAGAACTGGCATTGTTACTAAAAGTACTAAAAATATAAAAAATTATTTTAGTCAACTGAAATAAAGTTGAAATAAAATAAAACAAATATGTCATAAAAAACTTACATTTATAATTTAAAAATGTGCAAATTAACTTAAAAAAATAAGTTTAAGTAAAATGACAAACTGAAATAAAAATAAACAGAAATATTAAAAGATATATATATACAGTACATATATATATATATATATAAACAAACTCTAATCTTTTTGTATTTTATCTATTTTCTATTCATGTATTATACAATTAACAAAAGCAAAAAAGACCTCTAACACTATTCTATTCTATCCATTTTCTTTTTATTTATTATATTATTTAAAAAAAACCTTGCTACGTGTACTGCGTTAAGCTAACAGACTTGTTATAGCACTTGTATATCATTGCTCTTTTGTTGATTTTGATTGCTTCCATTGTCCTAATTTGTAAGTCGCTTTGGATAAAAGCATCTGCTAAATGACTAAATATAAATATATATAAATATATACTCACACACACATATACATTTAATGAAAAAAGCACACTGCTAAAACAAAATAAAATTAAAATAAAAAAATTATTAAACAAATTACTGTAACAGTATATAAATAATACTAAAACAACACTGCTCAGAACAACTTAGCAAACAAAGAGCAACACTCTGACAATCACAGTTTTGCACAGGTAAAAGTAAAAGAGTTGTGTATTGCATACTTGACCAATTGAAAGTAACTATGGAATGACATTCCGGACAATTTTCAAATAGAATAGCAAATTGTATTTTCAATTGCGTTTTCAATATGTGGATGCATAAATTGTGACATAATCCAAATGCAATTGCAAATCCTGCATTACTGTTTGCATTTCTCTTTCGCGAACGCACAGTGACTGCCAAATTTCAAATGAAAAAGCAAAGTCCATTTGCAACTGTATTTCCCATGTCTTAGGAGTTACGAGCCTGTCATATTTAAATAGCAATATTAATTACCAGTCTGCTTTTTCACTCTCGCTGCGTCGTGCATGTAACCTGCCAAAACTCAAATGGAATCGCAATTCCTTTCGCATTTGAATTTCCGATGTCTACATGGAAAGCTGCCAATCATCGTCAGGGGCGGGGCTATACTAGGGGGCGTGTTTGTATTGGGAGGTGACGTCACTCACAGACGACCGTGCTGAATGCTCTGATCAATGGAGGTAAAATACATTTATAATGTTACAAAATATGTCAAATAAATGCAGTAGTCTTCATTAAAGAATTCTAAAAAATGTATCATTACGTCCTTAATCATTTGTTTTTTCACTATGAAATATTGTTTGAAAAATCTACAAAGAAGTCTGGAAATTTGAACCTGGAAAACATTTTAAAATGGAAAATGTGTAGAACCCCTGATTATGTATTGTAAATAAATAAATGCAGCAATATACACACCCTATTGTCTAAATTAGAAATAAAAAGATATTTTGAATTAAAAATAAATTAATAATACAAATGTAAATAATTTATAAATATATTTTTAGGGATGTTTGCTAAATCATGCTTCATTATTAATATTGTTCATACTTGTGACAAGGGACTCGTAAACTTAAATATTAAATATGATTTGATATCATGTGTCTTGTCGGTGAGAGGTGTGCTGTTACTTTACTAAGTGATCAGACGGATGATGAAATGGATGAAGAATAACCTCTCAGCTCATTGAGATCAGCGCAGGGTCGCAGGAAAGCTTGTAAAAGGTCAGATGGTGTGTTTCTGAATTAGTCACAGTCTCCTGCTCTTCAGTGTTCAAATTTTCTCCTGTAGATTCAGAGTGGGGCTCTCTCCTTCCATACACTTGACTAGTTGATTCCTACACGGCAGGCTCAGAACTGTTGTATAGAATTGATTCACTCGCTGGCTTCATTTGTGTTCTGATGCATCTCGCATTGTGCTGCTGGAGGCTGTCATGAACATATTTCTTTCTCCATAGAGGTCGTAAGCTTTCCGAGGCTCTGGTGACATTTTGGAAAACCGCGGTATTTGCAAAAGGGTAAATATTGCCCTTAGTGTTTGCCCCATTTAGATTGGCATCTTCTCTCTATTGTTTTTTCCCCTTCTTTTCTGGAGAAAAAACAAGGGAAGACTTGATCCTGCCTCTGGTCATTTTCCCTGCTTCTGACATTCTTTTGGTTTTATAGCCATCAATTGTTCCTGCAAGGCAGTAGTTATTGAATTATCTTTACAAACCTCTCCAAATGAGAGAGAAAGGTCTGTGAAGACCAGTCTTTAGGTCTTAGATGGGTAGATATCATCTGATTGTACAATAAAAAGTCAAATTAGATTGTTTGAACTGAGCAATATTAATCAAGCGACGTTATAAAGAGAAGCCTAAAGCTGTAAATCTAAGCACATTATCTCTAACAGATTGTTTTTGAACGGCTCTGGTCATCCTGAAGTCATTTATGATGGCTGCCTTCTCTCAATATGAGAGTATTAAACTGTTCAGAGGTTCAAAGTACATATGAGGTCAGTATAGTAGAGATGGTTCATGTTATGAGAAAGAAAGAAAAAATAATACTGCTGTTGAAAAATCACCAAGGCTGCATTTATTTGATCAAAAATATAGTAAAAACTGTAATATTGTGAAATGAAGTGCTGTTTGAAATTTTCTTCTAAAATTAGCATTTTTATTTTTTTATCAGGCTCCTATGTGTAGGTTCAGTAATTTCACTTTAATGGCAATGAATAGGTTGTTTTCATTGATATTGAAGTAAAATAACTGAACATAAAAATGCTAATTTTAGATGAAAATTTCAGATGGCACTTAAAGGCTTTTGCATCTGAACTCTTCAAATATTGTTGCAATTTAAAATAATTATCTATTTGAACATATGTTCAAATGTAATTTATTCCTGTGATGCAAAACGGAATTTTCAACATCATTGTTCCAGTCTTCAGTGTCACGTGATCCTTCAGAAATCATTCTAATATGCTGATTTGATAAATAAATGCAAATAATTTTAATTCAGGCAGATAGCTGTGAGTTTATTTGATTCAAAAAACTCAATAAAAGATTGAAAATGAGTCAATAAAAGAACTGGTTCAAAAGATTCATTTGTATTCAGTCTAGATCGATTGCAGCAAGTACAGTGCAATAGAAAGATATGTTATCTGTTTATTGTTATTAATTTTTGTATGTAACATTAAGATTGTTTTTAGAATAATTTCTCATTAGAATGTCAAAATCTTAAGGGTCATATAGGCATGATTTGTTTAGAGAGTTTGCATAGTTTGATGCTTGATAAAATGCATAACAATGAAGTTGTATGTGTGGTTTACTCATGTATCTGCAACAAGTAAATGCTAAGGCTTAATGGCATGAACACATGCTCTTTGAATATTATTATGCTTTTAGTGATCTTTGAGCTCGACCAGTGCCGTGGAATGCATTTTGTAGATCATGTGAGCCGAGTGCAAATGCAGTCAAATAAACCAGACTCTTAACAGCTCAAATCAAGCGCTTGTGTGATTCATTTCAGGTCCCATGTATCGTCTGGAGAAGCAAACCGAACCGAATGTGGCGGTGGATTTGGACAGTACGCTGGAGAGCCAGGGAACCATGGAGTTCTGCTTGGTCCGAGAAAACAGTGAGTTTTGATGACATTTCTGATGTTCTTGCCATTGCAACACGCGATCTTTGAACATTTCACATTCATAAACATTTTTACAACATTACAAGAAGAGATTTTCCTTTATTTTGATATATTGATGAACTTTATTGATCACCTTTGTTGTTGCAAAACAGCAGCAACATTAAATGTAAAGTGCACAAATGCACACCGAATGCACACATCTTCTTCTCCACCCCGTCCCGTCTTCATCTGCAGGTTCTCGAGGCGAGGAGAGCTCAGAGGAGGACCCGCCTATAGACATCACTACGGTACAGGACATGTTGAGCAGCCACCACTACAAGTCCTTCAAGATCAGCATGATCCACAAGCTCCGCTTCACCACAGACGTGCAGCTAGGTACTGTTTCTAAATCACTATATTTAAATTGGAAGAAATATCTGGTATGGAACGACATTCCGGACAAGAATTTTGGCAGTCACTGTGCGTTCGCGAAAGCGAAAATGCAAACAGTAATGCAGGATTTGCAGTTGCATTTGGATTGTCACAATTTATGCATCCACATATTGAAAACGCAATTGAAAATACAATTTGCTATTCTATTTTGAAAATTGTCCGGAATATCGTTCCTTAAGTAACATCTTTCAAAAGCTGATTTCAGTTCAACTGTGTGTGTGTGTGTGTGTGTGTGTGTGTGTGTGTGTGAGCGCACACACAAATGAGGACATAAATTTGTATAATGACAAAGGTATGATATAGGTATTACAAGGAGAAGGTGACTTTTCAGGACATCACCAACCCCTCCCCCTCCGGTTGGTGCAAGCAGTCAGCAAGTATAGGTCTCTGCAGGAAAGTAATTATCAGTAATTACCAGGACGTTACCAGATCGGGGTGTTTTTAGACCATGTTTCCTGATTGGCTGACTTCATAGTGACAGTAGGTTTAGGGGTGGGGTTAGGTAATGGAGATCATTTTGATTGCATGATTGAGAAACACCCTCTAGTTTGAAAACACCCACAAATTCAGAAACGCCCACTTTTGCTCTGCAGAGACCTCAATGTCGCAGTCAGTGAGTCACCTGTGTGTGGGATGGCCGAAGGAGGTGAATCCCTGGAAGTTTTTCCCACGTTGAAAAAGATGAAGTCTGCCGTATGGGAATTTTTCGGGTAACGTAGACTAGCCATGTTCCGTACGTTTTAGCGCCGATCGCTAAATAAATACTTCCAGGTCGTACATAAACTACATATCTGCGTCATCTTAATTTCTCCCTCTTTCACCTCCGATCAAGACAGAGACCCACCCGCCGTTTGTTTCAGTGTTGAAATAAATACTATTTGGCTTGCTACCGAGGCAGATAACATGGCTAATTAACTAGCTAACGTCAACTAGTTTGCTCCCTCACGTTAACATTACTTCACAGAGCGAGGAATGGCAGACTAAAGTACTACGTTTCTGCGATTTAGTACAATAATAAAATTTAGCTGGTTTCACGTCTATACTTTTAAGCCTCCTGCCATTGTTTACATCTGTTCAAAATCACGACATTTAAAATACAAACAAACTGCTGGCTCTCAGGTGTCTTTGCCACTGTTTGAGTGTTGTACGGAGAAAGACACTGTGTGTGTGTGTGTGTGTGTAACACACTCACGCTCTCTCTTTCCTTATGTGTATGTGCACACATCCTCGTACCTCACTGCTCCAAACTTAATCCAGGAAAGGTGAACATTCCTGGATCATAACTTGCACTGAAAGGAATGCGTAGAAAGTGAGCATGTCTCCAAAAGCCTTGTTGAGCTGCAGGTTTAATGAGGTTTAATGACTGCATTTTTCATTTATTAATTTTTTATTTATTTATTAATTTATTTATGTTCTGATTATTGTTGAGCTGCAGGTTTAGGCCCACTTAATTTAATTACGAAGAATTCAATTATTGATTTTAATTATTTAGCCTGTGATGTTTATAGAGTGTTCCAAAATGTTCTCTGTTTCTTAAAAATAAAATGTATTGTGTTCAGTGGGAAAAAAAAAATAGTTGTTTTTTACCCAGACATTTAAAAATAACATATTTTAGAGCTGTAATCGCAATACCGTGAAATTTTTATCTAAGGTTATCATACCGTCAGAATCTCATACCGGCCCATGCCTAAACACCGCCCGGGCAATGAAGGAGTGGCTTCGTAGGAAGCATTTCAAGGTCCTGGAGTGGCCTAGCCGGTCTCCAGATCTCAACCCCATAGAACATCTTTGGAGGGAGTTGAAAATCCGTGTTGCCCAGCGACAGCCCCAAAACATTACTGCTCTAGAGGAGATCTGCATGGAGGAATGGGCCAAAATACCAGCAACAGTGTGTGAAAACCTTGTGAAGACTTACAGAAAACGCTTGACCTCTGTCATTGCCAACAAAGGGTATATAACAAAGTATTGAGATGAAATTTTGTTATTGACCAAATACTTATTTTCCACCATAATTTGCAAATAAATTCTTTAAAAATCCTACATTGTGATTTTCTGGATTTTTTTTTCTCATTTTGTCGCTCATAGTTGAGGTATACCTATGATGAAAATTACAGGCCTCTCTCATCTTTTTAAGTGGGAGAACTTGCACAATTGGTGGCTGACTAAATACTTTTTTTCCCCACTGTATATATACTGTATATATTAGGCATGGGCCGGTATGAGATTCTGACGGTATGATATATATATATGAGTTGCTGATGAACAGGTCACATGCACATACACACACAATGTGGGGTAAAGTACACAAATAAGCAGACTCCATCACCTATAACCAACGGTTATGAGTATATATGAGATATATACCCTAATACTCTTCCCTGCCTGTGAACTGGACTATATATCAGAGCTAAACAAGTTATGATGCTTCTGTTATTTATACCCAATCATACTGATCAGCATAGCAACTGAGCCAATATTCGATGTGGATGATGGAACTGCAGACAGAGAAAGAGAGACATTACACAATACTCAAGATTTGATCCACAAAGATCATGAAAAGGCTATGAGCATCATTTCTCATTCCTTTCAGTATTAGTGGTTGATTAATATGTGTTTTTGTTCACACCAGTGTTGCATATTTGTTTTCATTCTTTTTTCTGTACACAAAAATTAGAACGTGATGCGTTCCAGATGATGTGATCTGTATCAGACATGTGCTTAATGCTACTACATTAACAAAACCCATTGAGAGGTTTCATTTAAATGCCTAGCTGTGAATAACACTTGAAATTAAACACACTGCAATAAATAAATACATTCTAAATCAGTACTTTTTTCCCAATGAAAACATACAGTATAAACATCCTTAAAGCAAGATACATTTACTTGAGAAGCAAATCTGTGTAAGATATGTTAATATTTATTTGTAGTGCAAAACAAGTACACAACAGCGAAGCAAACGCAGCAGTCACGTTCTTGTGTTGATTTCAAAAAGAACCTGTCAAACCGACTCGTATACTTCACATCTTTGGTATTGTCTTTGCTAAGAGAGAAATACAATGCAAACTAACTGCTGTGGAAAAAGTAGCACATTCAGACATCATAAATGTAGCTACAATCGCTGCACACACCGTGACTCAGCATGAAACACTGTCCCTTCTATTCATGAGAAAACCTTATGCATTTCTTCACTCTTCCCTGTCAGTTCTCTCACTCCAGCAACAGACCCAAAATCCAATGCTTGTTGAAGGCCCTAGGGATGTGGTTCAATCTCACAGGATGACACTTGTTGCCTAGGGCAGTTATGCTGTTACATTCATAGATGAATGTTCCTACTTGATATCTCTTGCTTCTGACCATATAGCACTCTGTTGATGACTGAAGAATGATTTTTGAGAACGATCGCTTGCTAGTAGGTTTTATAATGTAATCTAAATCATTTATATTGACTCATTTGGGAGACATTTTATCCAAATAGACTTACATTACCATTCAAAAAAATTGGGTCTGGTAAGATTTTTGTTTTGTTTTTGAAAGAAGGCTGATCAAAAACACAGTAAAAACAGTAATACTGTGAAATATCATTGCAACTGAAAATAACAGTTTTCTATTTTAATATATTTTAAAATATAATGTATTTCTGTGATGGCAAAGCTGAATTTTCAGCAGTCATTACTCCAGTCTTCAGTGTCACATGATCTTTCAGAAATCATTCTAATATGACATGGTGCTCAAGAAAAATATTATCACTGTTGAAAACAATTGTGCTGCTTAACGTTTTTGTGGAAGCCATGATACTTTTTTTTCAGGAATCTTTGCAAAATAGAACAGAAGAACAGTATTTATCTAAAATAGAAATCCATTGTAACATTATAAATATCTTTACTGTCACCAATTTAATGACTGAATAACAAACTTTTAAATGGTAATGTACATTGCATTCAAGGTATACATAATATTATCAGCTCATGCATTCTCTGGGAATTGAACCATAGTGTTTCTATTGTATAAACAATAACAACAGAACAAACACTAATCTAAAACCATAGTGATATTTACATCATGAAGATCTCATTGCCCCACCTCCCTCACCCCCGCTCTCTCTCTCTCCTTGATTTGCTCGCTGCAACCTTGTTCTAGATAGAGATATTCAGACTGTCAGTATAAACTGCCTCTGTTTTCATTTTGCATTTATTTCAATGCCAGACTCGAGGCATACATTTTTCATCACCTGCTAGTCCATGAATAAAAGATTAAAAAGAACTGAAAGGGGAGGGAAGGGGACACGGGGAAGCAGAGAGAGAGAGAGAAATCACAAGGCAATGTATTGCAGAGACACTGTGTGTATAGGGTAAGTCTTCCTCCCTCTCCCTCTCCCTCTCTCTTTCTCTCAAATTTTTACATCAGGAGCAGTGCGGCAAGGTAAAGATACAATAATGAGCGGTGAAGCTGAGAATCGCCTCACCTTGGCGTTTTATAGGATTACCTGCTGGGAGAATTCAGATTTCTGGGCAGCTCTTACTTATTTATTCATTTCTATATTTATTTATTTTATTTATTTCTCTATCTGTCTATCTATCTGTATCTCTCTTTCCCCCTTGAGCAGAGCTTTGACAGGCAGGGCTGGAGTGAGATGTTGGAGGGTGAAGGGGCTTGTGGAAAATTTCATGATGCACATGCTGGAAAGTTCAGGTGTGAGCCAGAGGGGAAGACAGATGGAGGGATGGAAGGACAGGATTCTCATTCGCCTCCCGGACCCTCTGCACAACCTTTCATTCTGCGGACTCATTCAGAATACGGCAGCGAGCGATTTGTCCAAGAAAGACTTCTCAATATGTGTGTGTGTCATTGTTATATAACATCATTATATTCTACAAGCTGTCAGAGCACATAATATCATATCAATATTATATCAATAATATCAATGTTTACTAACACGCAAACTCATGAATACATTCCCTCACACACTTACTGCATGGTGTATGTAATGTATTTGGGTTGTTAATTTAACGTTAATTTACTGTGATTAATTATTAAACAAATAAATAGAAAAAATAGCAATCAACTTGAAATAGAAATATATGTTAGCGTTCAGGAATGACATTTAACATGACACATGCTCGTAGTGTGGGATTCTGAAAGACAGCAATAAGTCATGTAATGGCTAAAGAATGTTATTACTAAAATAATTCAAAACATTTTTGTTCACTGAAATAAAGCTGAGTTGAAGCACTAAATAAAAAAATTTAACTGAACTAAAACTGAAATAAAAATAAATAACTAAATTACATATAGAAAATGAAAAAATACCCCCCAAAAACTGTAATATATAATATAATACCGTAACTTTATATAAATAATACTAAAATAACTAAAATAATAAATAAATAAATAGTTAATTAGTGCAGATGGAATACAAGATGGAAACCTGTGTGAATGGACCCAAGACCTCAACCAGAATAAAAACACAATTGCAAAATGGATTGCTGTGGACTGTAGACTTATGCTTACTGAAATAGAAATAAAACAAACAATCAGAATCAGAATTAGCTTTATTTGCCAGGTGTGCAAACACACGAGGAATTTGTTGTGGGTTTTTAAGGTGCTCCTGGTACATACATACATACACATTTGACATAAGAACAGAAAGAAAAAAAAACATTTAAATAGTAAAACCTAACAATAAATAATGTGTATGACTTCTAAAGCCACATTTGGCTATTCAATATTTTCATGTTGTAAATTATTCTGTCATTAATTATCTTCATTTTGGGGTCTTTACTCAACACATATTGATATATTTCATTCATTACAGTTAATTTAATTAATTGAAATATATAATTCATTAAAAAGTGTGAATAGCTACCATGAACAGTATTTAATGTCTTTTACTTTCTGATTTTATACTTCAATACAAAAATAAATGAATAAATAAACTGCAGCAAATCACTCCATTTCCTGTCACAACTGTTTGTTTGTGTGTGTGTCACAGTGGCAACTTGAGGCAAAGACATATGGACAATGTGACAATAGCCACCAAGTTTTGGGGCCCTTTACTGTACACATATACACACATCTATATTTCATGACCTTGTTACAACCCTACTCCGTTCAACACACACACAAACATGAAGCTTCTACAGGTATCCTATCAGTGCTAATCTCTGTCAGAACCTCCTCAAATTCATTCATCAAACAACACATTAAAGAGAAAATGAAAATTCTGTCATCATTTATTCACCCTTGTGTCCTTCTAAACCTGTATGGCCTTCTTTCTCTCATAGAAAATACTGTATATAAAAATGAGAGATTTAGCAGAATGTCCAAGCTGCTATTTTCAATACAAGGTAATCACATTATGACTAGAGGGGGCTCCAAATAAATAAATATAAACAAAAATACAATAAACAATGCATCATAAGTATCACAAAAGCCCTATACATCAACTCTTCTGAAGCCATACACTAGCTGTGAGAGAGGAACAATTCTTATGGATGACTTAAATGGTGTTTTAACAAAGCTATTTTGTGCTTGGCAGCATTAATCACAATCTATTTAAGTCATATGGAAAAGAGCAGCTCGGACATTCTGCTAAACATCTAATTGTGTGCTCCACTAAAGAAAGAAAGTCATACATGTTTGAAATGACAAAAGTGAGTAAATTAGATATATATATATATATATATATATATATACAGTATATATATCATGTATATTTACATTGAAATAAGATTTTACAATTTTACAAATATGGTACAATAAATATATAAATGTCTATATATATATATATATATATATATATATATATATATTTATTATCATTTACTCACTTTTATGTAAAAAAAATAATTTTTTTCAATTAAGTGAATTAAAAAATTATATATGAACTAACCCTTTAAAAAGTTAAGGGCTAAATCCGTCTCATTGTGAATCTAAAACAAGCACCCAAATAGTAAATCTAAGAGTTAATTCAGGTTAAAAAAGAGAACAGAATCGGCCATTAATTTGTGCTCTAAAAAGGTTAAGCAGGTTCCACAGTGTATATTTTTTCATCATGTACCTCCGCTTCTGGGACAGAGTTAAAATAGACACTGGGACTGTAAAGATGAGGAAAGGTGAACAGGTGGGCCAGTCAATCTGTAGAACAAGGCTGGCTGCCAACCTTGTGTATGTGTGTGTGTGACAGTATAAAGCTGTGGGAGAGTGAGAAAAGGACTTTCACAAGAGCAGAGAGAGAGACCCCACTGTTCCTAATGAGCTATGAGAAAGTGCCCTCTCAGCAGAGTGACACAGACAAAATCTGTGTGTAGAGAGTTGGGGAATGGTATGTGGGGAGTTGATATTATTTCTCTGTTGGAGAGACGCACCAATTCTCAGTAAAGTCGACACAGTTCTCACTTTCCGATGTCACTGTATTATTCTACTTTTCCACGCTCATGTACACACACCCACACAATAGTTAGAGCATCATCGCTTAGATCACATCTCAACCGGGAGCCCAATTCCAGTAGGATACGGGCACATGGATGGGCATCTGTGCCAGCGTGTCACACATTTGCCAGGCTATGATGGGTTCCCAGAGGCTGGGCACATATCCAGTCGGCACTAAGCTAGGAGTACCAATGTGTGATTCATCCCAGAAACATTCAGAGTGATACATTCACAGTGCTGTCACTTTTCACCAATATCTCATGCAGTTTTCTAAACTCTATTCTAGAAGCTTGCATCCAATATACCAAAATGCTTGAAACTCTTATTGTTAAAGTGAACATGCAGCCTCATTTGAAATCAAATTTACTTTCAAAAAATGGCATATTTCTCAGTGAAATTCAAGATTTGATATTATCCATTGGAAAATGGTTGGATCATTGGACCAGAATGGAATCAAGAATGGAATATGAGTTTATTACATTTTGATGAAAGATTTTTTTTTTTACATGAACATGAAACGTTCACAAAAAGACCAAGAACATGTAATAAGTAAAATTGGTCCATAAAACTTAAGTACACAATTCTGTTGCTATTAGCATGAAATAATGGAATTTAAAAAATAATAAAATACGACTATAACAAAATGCTGTTTATAAATACCAAGACGGTTCACTCGTATAATTATGAATAGGAGAAACTACAACATGCATTATGGCAGAATAAGTCCAGCTTTCTAATTAAAAGAGCCAATTGGCAATTTGTAATGTAATCACATCACTACAGTCGCCGTTAGAAGCTCCGGTTCCCATAGAAACAATCAGTGTCCTGAGACGTGCTTGGGGCCACACATGC